ACAAAAATACCTTACCGTTATAACTTCCGTTATCATATACCTTTTTTTTTTTTGAATGCCCGTTATCATATACCTTAATTATAAAAATTCTACCTAATAATTTTAGCATTAAATGTCATACAATAATTACTATAAACAATGTTTAATAATTGACAAATTCTATTAGGCAATAAAAATTACTATTATAAAATCTTTGGTAATATGTACACATTATTTTTAATTATTTTGGTTTAATAGTATTATATCTTATTTATAAAAATTCTAAATAATACTTTTAGTACTATTAAATATTAATTGACTAAAAATTATCTTAATTATTGAGGTAATTAATCGGTATTTAGCTTGTTAGTGTTTTTAAATTGTTCAAAAACCCCATATTATAATTGGCAATATTATTATGGCACATACTAAGATAGGTTTAGAGTTTGTCCATCCAGCTCTACAGTCGACTGATCAATCAGAAGCAACAACAGAAGGACTGACACTGAAGATCTGATTTAGGAAGCTGATTTCTAAAAGTCTTATGCGGTATTATCAGACCAGTTTGGAAAGAAGATCAGCGTATATTTTCAAGAGAGGTATGGACCTAATCTTCTGAGATTACATTCCTCTTTTATAGTCCTACCTTCTACAATCAAAGTTTTTTATGGAGAGAGTTTATTGAAAAATCTATAAGTACCCTTACTCGAAGAGATTTAGGGTTACGCCGAAAATACGAAGAAACACTCCCCATCTGCTATATGAGATTAGATCTTTGATTGTCATGTATCTTCTCAATACAATATGTTCATGGTGATTAAGATGATGAACTTGAGAAGAATCACTGCTGCTTAAATGAAAGGACACTGTGATCACACTGTTGTGGGAACAACTATAAAGAGCATCATTGAAGTGGACTGCATCAGAGTGGGCTCTCCAAGTGAAGGGATTTCATTGGACTTTTGTATGCATGGCTCTCCATCTTAAACAATCCACTAAACCTGTGTAGACTGGGTATGTACCTTGTGTGGGGCACTTGGGTAAGATTATTGTATATCTACCTTTGTACATTGGATTATGATTTAGTGGATTGGACGCCTATGTGATCGTCCCCCAGACGTAGATACACACTGTATCGAACTGGGTAAATATTCTATATCGTTGGGTTTGTGCTCTTATCTTTCTCTTACATCTTCTCCACTATTTATTATTACTGACTGACTTCGTAACTGAATCAATTAGTAATCTCAGACAGATGATTAATTCTGTTAATCTATCTAAAAAGAGAATATGCAAAATTACATGTGGTATCAGAGCTTTTAAGTCTACATAGTGACTTGATCCGACGGGTTGTTTTTAGTTTTGCATTCTCTCTGTCTTTCGCAAGTTTTTCTGTGTGTTCGTTGGCTGGTTGTTTGTATTCAGGATGGACGCAAGTATGAAACCACCAGAACTAGATGGTCATAACTACTCTTTCTGGAAGGCTCGCATGGAGATATATCTTCAAGCACAAGGTACCAGGGTTTATCGTACTGTCCTAACTGGGTGGAGTCATCCAACTACTCAGAATGCACAAGGAGTTACTGAAGATAAGCCCATGGAGACTTGGACAGACGATGAAATGAATGCCTCGGATCTAAACAACAAGGCATTAAATTCAATTGTAGGATCTTTGCATGAATCTGTATTTACTCTTGTCACAGGAGCAAAAGAGGCTAAACGAGTATGGGAAATTCTTGAAACTAGATTTGAAGGAACCAGTGATGTCAAACAGTCAAAGCTACAAATGGTTCTGTCAGAATTCGAGGCACTCAGAATGACTGAAGAAGAAACCATTTCGACCTTCCACAGTAGGGTTTAGAACCTTATGAACCGAGCCTCAATTCTTGGAGAGCCTTTCACTGATGAAAGAGTGGTCAAAAAGATCCTTCGATCTTTACCTAAACGCTTTCGAATGAAAGTAACTGCTATTTAGGAACACACTGGTTGGAAAAAAAAGACTGTCGGAGAACTCATGGGAAGCTTACACACATATGAACTAGAAGTTCTTGCTGATGATCTTGGAAGTAACAGAAAAGGAACGTCAGTGGCCTTTGTGGCTGAGGCTGATCGAGAATCTGACACAGACGACATAGATGATGAAACCTTGGCACTTTTAACCAAGAACTTCAAGAAAATCTTAAAAGGTTTCAACAAAAAAGGTCAAGGTCAGTCTACCAGAACTCAATACAAAGGCAACAACTCCTCATATCAAAAGGTTGAAACAGCACCTTTCTCACAAAACAATCAACCTCAGACTGGTCGATCAAGACAGAACAGAACTAGTTCCACAGACACAGGTAAATCTCTCAACCGGTCAGTGCAGTGTAGGGAATGTGAAGGATATGGTCACATACAGGCTGAATGTGCAACATATCTAAAAAGAAAAAAGGCTATGTCTGTAGCTACTTTAACTGACGATGAGGAGGAAACTTCAAATGATCAGTCAGATGATAACGTGGGAAACTTTGTAGCCTTCTTT